CTTATGATGGATGCTTCAGTTAAAGGTAAGACCAGCTCCTCCCTGCATCATCTAAGCATACAGCATTTTCTGCTCTTTCCCAATGACTATTTGGTAGCATTTTCCCAGCGAAATCCAAGAACATACTGGCCAACAAGACAAAAGGAAAGCATAGCCTCTGTCCCTCCCATCCTGCCTTGCTTTCTTTTCTGGACCAGACACAACTAGTACATACAGCCAAACCTAGCTCTGGGAAGAAGATGACAAATGCTAAAGCAGAAGAAAGAAATCACACAGCATAAAGTCAGATAGAGAGCAGATGGCAAGGAAAAAAACAACAAGAAAACAACACTAGCACTACAGACACTGTAGTATTACAAAAAGCAATTCTAGTACATCAACATTTATCATGTACATGTAAAATCTTATTATTACACTTCTAACTATAAGTTCCTAAGAGTCTTTAAGTCACCCAACTGTCTACGCAGAAAATTCTGACAGATAGCAGAATTAGCTGAAAATGTGTGGTTGTTAGAAACATGTAAATGTATTTCTACTGCAGTGAAAGCCTTAAAAGCGTTACTGGCAATAAGAGAAAAAAAGAACTACACTTACTTTAATTAAGGATTTTCTACACCTAAAACTTAAGACCTGTCGTGGATTGAGACAATTTACAAGAACTATTATTCAAATTTAGCCCAACAATTTAAAACATACGAATCTGTGCTGTTTAAATTTCAGTTGGGAATTATTAAAATAAGATACACAGAAATTCACAGAATTCACATCAAGGATCCAAGAAACGGGATTTTGTAAACTTTTGAAATTAATGAGTTTAAGACTTTCAATACATTTATCTTTCATTACCACATTTGAATTGTCTTCAAAATTCCTGGTCCTAGTGAAATACTTACCATGATACCACCATTTTGTTTTCTTTGGATTCTTGTTACATGTTCTTACATAAAATGAGTTATCTGGAGGTCGCCTCTGCAACAGAAGAAAAGACCTACAAATAATCAAACAATCCCCACATAATAAATACATGAACTATTTAAGAAGTTCATGAAAGGTTATATGAATATAGTGAAAGTAAGGCAGCAAACAGGGATAGTCATCTTACAAGAAAAACCTAGGTAATGGCTTTTACTGCAGATAATCCAAGCAAAGATCCCATGATAAATTCCAAATAGCCTAGAGAAAGGTTGGGGTAGGAATATGTGGGTATTAGGAAGAATAAGTAAAGAGGATAGCCCATGAAAAAGGAACAGCTTTTGATTAAAAAAAATAAAAGAGAAATTCCTTTCTAGTTTTTTATCTAATTGTTATATATTAGGTCCAGTTCACACCCATAAATCCCAGCTTAGAATGGGTAAAAAATGATCTTTGGTTCATTTGGTTTCACTGGGCAAACTCAGAGGCAGATGATATAACAAAGCAATTTGAGAGGTATTTTCCTACCAAAATCACATGACTAGGACCAACTGGGATATGTTGAATATGCATGCTGGGAAAGCACATATCTGCCCCTGCACTTTGGCACTGGTGAGGCCTCCCCTCGAGTACTGTGTTCAGTTTGGGGCACCTCAGTACAGAAGTGCTGAGGTGCTGGAGCAGGTCCAAAGAAAGGCAACAAGGCTTGTGAAGGGCTTGGAGAACATGCCCTATTAGGAGAGACTGAAGGAACTGAGGCTGTTCAGTCTGTGGAAAAGGAGGCTGAGGGGAGACCTTATTACTCTCTTCCAGTACCTGAAAGGTGCTGACAGCGAGAGCGGGGTTGGTCTCTTCTCACTGGTGACAGGTGACAGGATGAGGGGAAATGGCCTCAAGTTGCATCAGGGTAAGTTTAAGTTGGATATCAGGAAACACTTCTTTGCAGAAAGGGTTGTTAAACACTGGAATAGGCTTCCCAGGGAGGTGGTTGAGTCACCATCCCTGGATGTGTTTAAAAACCATTTAGATGTGGTGCTCAGGGACGTGATTTAGCAGAGCGTTGTTAGTTAGGGTAGTACGGTTAGGTCATGGTTGGACTCGATGATCTTTAAGGTCTTTTCCAACCTGAGTGATTCTATGATTCTATATGTACAAGCTCTGACCAAATTAACCTCCACAGAAATTCCACTCCAAAACTAACAGTCAGAAGTAAAAGAGCAACCTTTTTTCTTGTAAAAGTCTGAGCATCACTCATTTATGATCAAAAAGCAGGTTAGGATCATTTACTTTTCTGAAATAAAAGTGATCAAGGTCAATAAAATAGTACAACTTAGACATCTGCAAAAAAGACATTTCGTCAGTTGTTTTGAGTTGCCTTTAGAGACAAACAATTTTAATAGAATTGCAAGAATTTAACTTTACGTGTTAATATAATGTAATGACTTGGTACAAGTAGAAGCATGCTATTTACGCTTCTTCTCCAATAAAGCCATACAAACAGATTACCATAAAACAAAGTTACAAAGTACTTACTGTACTATTTAGTTTGCAGTTCTAGCTTAATACTTTTAAATAACAGAAATCTAGATGTAGCAAGTTTGCCTATTTTAGAATTTCAGAAACAAAAAAATCTTACTTCACAAAGTAGAAAACTAATAATTTTCACTTATTCTACTCCAATGGTGCTTAAATCAGCAGGCGGTGGCAATCCTGCCCATCACAAGCTGACTGGAACTACATGATCTTTAAGGTCCCTTCCAACCCAAGCCAGTGACTCTATGACAAAAAAACCTCATACCTTTTCTTTGCAGCTGGAAAGCATGCTAATAATGCTAAGACAAACAGATTGCACTGAGAGAGCTGGAGACCAGTCTTCTGTTAGAATGGACAAGCAGATATGACCATTGCTATAAACATGTGGATGAACAGGAATATTGTCACCAGTAAACATGACCTAAAAAAAAAAATACACACATGTATAACATCCAACTTTTAAATAAAACTACACGGCTTTTGTAAAAAAAAAAAAGTGGGTTCTGACATTTTCATTTCCAATAAATAATACAATATACCATATTATATTCATTCATCTTTTGAGCTATTCATCAAAATGTAAAATGAAATGACAGAAGCCTTGTTAGCTAGTGAAAGTGAAGTTGCGCAAATGGCTAAATGCAGTTTTTTCCTATGAATAGCTACAAAACAAAAAGAATATAAAAGCAACAAATCTATCTAACTGAAGTTTTTAAATCTTGCAACCTCAGTCTTTTACATCCTAAGGAAAACAGCTGCATACCCAGAAGGTTAGATTCACAAATTAGTATTTCTATGGACACAATAGGACATAAATTCTGGACAACTCAAGAAGAGTTAAACACATTAATTCTATTAGCTATAACATAAAGAACTCTTTACAACCATAGTACATTATCACATAGGAAATATTTTAAATCGTTATTTGAGTGGGATTTACTTTTATTTAACAAAAGCAAACAACAGAGAACAGCACTGAGAATCTCAACTCCCCTCTATTTAAGGATAATAAAGGTTAGAAAATCAATTTTGACAATTACTGCTCTTACAGTAAGTTTGACAAAAACACGAGGTCAGCTCAGGACCAATGAAAAGGGAGTAAAAAAATCAAAATCCTCACAGCAGCATTATCCTCCTGAGCTCCTTACCCAACATAAGCACTGTAATCTTTTATAAAATGACATAATAAATCTCTACCACTCAAATCACAACATCATCTTAAGATTTTCTAAGTTCATGTGCATGTTCACACACCTCATCACATTACTGACTACCAGAAAGAAGTTTCACCTTAATCACAAACGAACCTGAGGTGAGAAAGCTCAACTATTTGCCAAATGACATGCATTTTTCTTTATGGCAGCAGAAAAAAGTGGATGCAGAATGATCTTTATCTGGTATTTTTTATGCACTGAAAAGCTTACCTTTGTAATGTATTTAATTTCTAACTAATGTTTCCATTTTACAGGAAAACCAGGACTAGGCACACTAGTAAGTAAAAGCATGCACACTATAACACACAACATTCAGTTAAGGCAGAAAACAATCAAGCGATTAAACAGCAGAAACATAAATTGTCAATTCAAAGGAAGTAGACTTATAGGAGAAAGAATTATACATCAGGAGCTTTAAAACAGAGAATGAAATTATTGTACAGCAGCACATGGAAATTCTAGCCATTACAACTAAATGTCCAGTACTTAAATTCTTAGTTGCCTTTTATGCTTACAAAGAAATAGCTACACTTGTCTATGTGTACTGATCTAGATTACTTTCTTACAATATTTTTTTTTACGTGTTGGATACTGAGTACAAACAGTACCTACTTGGAATCAAAACAAAGTGGGCCTTGTGGATCACTTACGAGTAGTTTACTGCAAACCTGATAAAATGCAGATGGGAATGGAATGTGCCAATTTGTTCCTTAAAACCTGAGACTAAAGAGTCAGCATTTCTTACTTTTTACCTTAATACTTAAAGATACGTATTTTTACAGTTTAAGCGGCTGCCGCAGCTCCTTGCTGGAGCTTCAACAACCAGGAGAAAAGCAGAGATGACTCTTCAAACTTTGAGCTGAAACAGGGCCAGAACTAAAGCACTCTAATTTCTCCTTTCATTCTCAGGAGAGCTGAAGTGGTAACTGAACACCTACTTTCCTCCTACAAGCCACGATTTGTAACATTCCTCTCAGGTAATGGACAGATGGATGTACAGAGCTCATTCTGCACCCTAGTAGTAATGCTGCCCCTCCAGTACTTAATGTTACCATAAAAGCAGTAGCTCACACTTCAATTATAACCACTAGATTTGCAGACCTGCCAGAAATGCCAGGTATTTATGAGAATTCCTACCACATTAACAGTATTTTGACAGCCATATTAATAATGGCAGTAGGTGAAAGAGGTTTAAAAAGTAACTAGAAGCTAAAGAGGAGACAGAAGAATTGTTGATCACGCCTGTGCTGCAGCAAAAAGAACCCTCCTACTATAGTGTTGCTCTTTCACAGTATATAAATAAAGAAACCTCAAGTGTACATTGTTTTTTCACCTTCCATAAAACCAAGTGGACTGCAGTAGGCACTACACTTCACTGAAGATTCGTTTCAATTTATGTTAAACATATTGTGCAGATACATTTTTTTTTCTAGAAACAACTAAACCTCACATTAGGACATACAAATAGCATTAATATTCAGCATGTGCCACACAACTATTGCTTAGGGGTAGAATTAAGTAGGAAGGAAGAAAGCAGATACCTGAGGTGAGTCAAAAGGATATCGGCTACTGAACTTAAACAGAAGTTGAAATTTCTCCCCCTCGTATAGCGTTCCTGGAGCACCTTCCATGTCTACAATCCACCTAAGAATGGAGCAAAAAACAGTATTATGGACTACCAAATTATTATTTTACTTATTATTTTACTCCTGAAGCACAGGACAAATAAAATCAAACACCATGCAGCCAATCTTCCAAACTCTCTGTTAGAATAACTATTACAGAAGTGAATAATGCCTCAAGCCCACATTTGAAATAATCAAACTTGGTATTTCATTTACAGGCACTGCCATAGCACTGCAAATTATGATGACTTGAACTCATCACATACTCATCAATTCCCTGCTACATGAGCCACAGCTGACATAGAAGACTTCCAAAGACTTATTCCTACATAAAAACAGGCTTGGAATAAAACAGCGTAGTGGGCATTCTCCTTTCATGTTGTTTCTGTCTTTCTGGCAAGGATATCATAAATACAGTTTATTAAAATAAAATCTGCATCCCCATGGCGAGAAGGAATGATGCTCCCGAGCATTTGTGAAGAAGTCAGAAATGAAATGCTACATAATCTGACACACAAGGAAACCGTAAAACTGTAAAGGTTAACAGCATAAAAATGAAAAGGTCATAGAAAATTACAAGTAGAAAATGGATGACTTGCAACTGTAACGAAGATGTACTTCTCTTCTGGACCTGATCCTTCCATCACAACATGGAATAAACTGATATATATATTTATATTTATTTTAATTTAGGCAAAAATATGATTCTGTGCAGTGTTCATGACAAATAGCAACACCTTGCTTTGTCAATTCCATCACTTCAGATTTCTGCTGATCATTTAATACCATCCTTTGTAGAGCTGTTTTCCCCATTTTTGTCTTTCATTGACAGAATTTCACACATCTGAGGGATAAAGTAACGTAAAAATTTAGCAAGACTACAAAAACTCAGATAAGAACGTTTACATCAGTTGCAAGTCAGACAAATGACATTTTTCAGAACAGAAATGCATTCAAAGAACAAGGTCTATTTCAGCTGAAACTTCTGATGATACTACTCCCAACCTCTCTCCATAATGCCATCATACAAGCTATCCCTGTATTTAAGTGGTGCACACTAATCACAGAATGGTTTGAGTTGGAAGAGATATTTAAGATCATCTGATTTCAACGCCATGCTATAGACAGGGACACCTCCCTCTAGACCAGGCTGCTCAAAACCACAACCAGCCTGGGCATGAATGTCTCCAGGGTAGGGGCATCCACAACCTCACTGTTTCAGTGTCTCACAACCCTCACAGTAAAGAATTTTTTCCTAACATCTAGTCTAAACCTACACTCTTCCAGTTTAAAGCCATTTCCCCCCCATTCTGTTGCTAAATGCCCTTATCAGAAGTGCCTCCTCAGCCTTCCTGCAGACTCCCTTCAGGTACTGGAAGGCTGCTAGAAAGTTCCCCCTGAGCCTTCTTCTCTAGGTTGAAGAGCCCTAACTCTCTCAGACTGTCCTTGGAGGGGAGGTGCTCCAGCCCTCTGATCAACTTTATTACTCTCCTCTGGACCCACTCCAACTGCTCAACGTCTTTCTTGTGTTGAGGGGTCCAGAACTGAACACAATACTCCAGGTGGGGTCTCAAAGAGCAGAGTAGAAGGGCAGAATCATCTTCCTCAACCTGTCAGTCACACATTTCTTGATGCAACCCAGGATATGGTTGGCCTTATGGGCTGCAAGTGCATTTTGTTGGTTCATTTTAAGTCTTTCATCACTCCACACCCTCAAATCTTTCTCCTCAATGCTGCTTTCAAAACATTATCTGCTCAGCCTGTATTTGTACTTGGTATTGCCCTGATCCAGGTGCAGAACTTCACACTTAGCCCTGTTGAATTTCATGAGGTTGGCATGGGCTCAATTCTCAAGCCTGTCCAGATCCCTCTGGATGGCATCCCTTCCCTCTAGCATGTCAACCGCACCACTCAGCTTGGAGTCATCTGAAGACTTTGTGAGGGTAAACTGTCCATGTTACCTATGAAGACATTAAACAGTATCACTTCCAGCACCATCCCTCATCATCTTCTCTACTGCATTAAAATTATTTTAGTTTTAGAAAAATTGTTTCTCTACAGAATTGCTGTCATCCTCCTCAGGAAGAAAAAAAGTAATATGGTAATGGCTGTAATGGGGAAGAGCCCTTAAATTGCAGGTGAAGCAAGGGGTGACACTGTATGTAACAGAATTGGACTGTATGGCACTTACAGTTGGCAATTATGCGGTTGAGTGTCTCTGAGTGAGGATTAGGGGGAAAGCAAATAAAATAGATATTGTTGCAGGAACCTATTATAGATCATCCAACCAGGATGACAACACCAATGAATGACTTTACAGTGAATTAATGGATATTTCTAGAACAGCTGCCCTTGTCTTTATGGACGACTTCTAATTCCCAGCTTTAACTGGGAATATCATATAACTGATATAAATAGGCTCAGGAGATTACTAAGGGAGCTTACTAGGAAAGGTGCCCTCCTAGATTTGTTACTTGTAAACAGAGACAATCTTGCCAGTGAATTGACAATCAGAAGCCATCTTTGGCCACAGCGACCACAAAGCAGCTAAGTTTCAAATCTTTGGTTACAGGAAAACTGCCATCAAAACTTCAGCACTGAATATGGGAAGAGCAGAGTGCAGGCTGCTCAGGGAACTACTTTGCAAGATGCTGCAGGAATCTGTTTTTGAAGATGTTGGTATCCATCACTGCTGGCCACTTTTAAGAGCCATATCTTAAGAGCAAAGGAGCAAGGGAATTCCCATGAGTCAGAAATCAAGCAAGAGGAGATTAAGGCTGGCCTGGCTGAGCAGGGATCTTCTTCACAACCTTAGGTGGAAAAAGAAAGTGTACTGACATTAGAATTAAGGCGCTTTTTAAACAGCAAAAAGAGCGCCAGCAAACACTGGCTCATTACTTGACAAGTTAAGTCACCTCACAAACAGGAATGTTCATAAAGGAGAAACACACAATGCCTTTTTTTGCCTGTCTTCAATACTGATGATAGAACTCTGGGGGTTCCAGAGGTGAGCTAGAGGAAAGAAACTCCCAGCCAACTCTGAACTTGTGCAGGATCTGCCATTCCAGTTGGATATATGAAAATATGTGGAATGTGAGGGGATTCATAGAACTCACCATAAAATCTCTCTCAATTATTCCTCAATGGTCTTAGAAATCTGGAGAGGTTTCAGCTGGCTGGAAGTTAGCAAATGTTTTAATTTTCAAGAAGGGCAATAAATATGTCCTGGTAATTACAGGACAGTCATTCTCACTTTAGTGCCTTGTAAACAATATAGAAAATTATTCTGGAAGTCACTGAAAAATACTTGAAATAATGCAGTCATTAGTTCATTACGTGCAACCCCTTCTTCACTAACTTAATTGCCATTTACACCAAGGTTGTCCACATAGCTGATCAAGGTAAACTAGTCAATGTGAGGTTTTTTGCTTTTTTTTTTTTAATTTCAGAAAAATTTCTAACACTTACAGTAGCCTTCAGGGCAAAACGTCCAGCATCCAGCTAGAGAAGTACACAGTATGACAGGTAAACAACTGGTTCACAGGTCAGGCTCAAAGGGCTATAGTAAATGGAGTTATATCAGGCTGGCAGTCACTACCGGAGTTCCACATGGCTCAATTTTAGAGCCTGCTCTCTTCAGAGTTTTTATAACTGATCTGAATGCAGGATTCTCAGAGTAAAAAAAAAAAAAAGCCTTGCAAAGAGATCTTGGCAAATCATAGAGCTGGATGATCACATGAAGTTTAAAAAGAACAAGTGCTGAATTCTGCAGTTGGGATGGGTAACTCCATGTATATGTAGAGACTCAGGGGACAAGAGACTGGAGAACAGCTTTGTAGAAAGCCATTCTGGTTGTCATCAAGTTGAATCCAAATCAGCAGTGTGCTCTGATAGCCAAAGGAACCATCCATACCCTGCAGTGCATCAGGCCCAGCACTGTTAGAACATCAAGGGAAAGGACTGTCCTGCTCTGCACTGGTGTGGCCTCACCTTAAACACAGTGTACAGTTTGGGGTGTCACAACATAAGGACATAAAGGTATTATACTGTATCCAAAGGAGGATTTATGAAGATGGTAAAGAGCCTAGAGGGCAAAACATGCCAAGAATAGCTGAGGCCACTGAGTCTGTTTAGCCCAGAGAAGAGGAAGCTGAAGGGAAGCACCGTGACAGCGTACAGCTTCTCACGAGGGGAGCAAAGGGAGTGGTGCTGACTCTGGTTGGTGACAGTGACTGTACAAAAGAGAATGGCATGAAGCCGCATCAGATTGAGTATTAGGAAAAGGTTCTTCCCCAAAGGGTGGTCAGATCCTGGATCTGGCTCCTCAGGGCAATGGCCATGGCCTTCAAGAAGCGCTTGGACAATACTCTTAGACAGTTTTAATTTCGGATGGTCTTGCCTTGACCCAGGAGATGGACTCAATGAGTCTCATGGATCCCTTCCAACTCAGGATATTCTGTAATGATTTATCCTAGTTGCAGTTGAGACTACTTACCTCTTGCTATACATTCTGCTTTACATTTATAGACGGGCTGCATCTTTAAAGCTATGCAGCTTTACTGGTTCTTGTGATCCAGAATCTCCACTTTCAAGTCTTTGAACTAGTTTCACTTAGAAAGTAGAAGATAATTCTCTCCAAACACTGCTCTTTTTATGATTAAGGTATTACTGTTTTGTTTTTTTTAATCTTTTTGGTTTGTTTTGCTTAAGCCAAACTTCTAATTAATGTGTATTAAAAAGAAACTGATTAAACTGGGTTTAAAATGACCCAGTTACATTATGGGCTTCAATTAATTGATTCAATTCCTTTCAAACCCAAGTGAGTACAAATCCATACTGTACCAGCTCTAACTGCAATTTGATTAATTATCTCAAAACATTCTACTTGGCATTGAAAACCCTTAAAGGGCAAAAAAAAAACCAAACATATAATGACAGGAAGTTTTTTACTCAGCAACAATTTGAAAAAAAAAAAACAGCACAACCGTAAACAGGAAGTTTCTATTTGTAATGTATTGAAAGGTATAAAAATTGCATGTAGCAAAAAAAACCTCACAACGTAGCAGCACTCTAGTAACAAAGATACCCTTAGAATAATGGAAAACTACGAACATAAAAAACCAAGCTTTTCTTTTTACAACTCTTCATTTTCTGTAAAATTACTTTAGTCACTATTTCTCTTTAGAGAAGTTGAGTTTTCTTTGAGAAGTAAAATGTTTACCTTTTTTTCTGAAGAAAATGACGAAGAAAAGCAAGAAACAAAACTTGCAATTCATGAATTGTACAGCAGCTTGTTATTAGTAACAAATTCTAGAATGCACTATTTCAATTTGTTTCAGTAATATTCATCTGCATCAAGCATCACAAAAAGCAGGAACATTAAAAAGCAACAGTTGTATAAAACCTCACGTAGCACAGTCTGTGTGCCATCACCAGAAATTCAAATGTGAAGCGTCTTCAACTAGGCAGCTCCATGTTTGGTTTTGAAATTGATCCATCAATCAATGACACACATATTGCAGAAAACAGCCTGAAATTCACACTCATAGAAAATCTTAGTGGATGCAAAAATCTAACATTTCCCTAAAATTAAGCTAAGAAAAACTTGACAAAATTATCCAAAAATGTTAAGAGTAAGTCTTTGAATTTCAGACAGTTGGAAGAATTTTAATACAATGAAAACATTTGTTGACTTCAATGAAATGCAGAGAATACTTAAACACACCTGGTTCAGTTTTACTAATCACAAATAAAACCACAGCAAGGAAAACAGTGCAAAAAATGAACTTCAGCAACTCTGCTTTTTAAGAAGCTTTCTCTACTTCATTTAGAAAACATGGATGGAAATTAATTACTATGAAACAGAGTCTAAATAATGTAAAAAAATATAAACCAGCTCTGTTCTTTGATGAAATTTAGAGGAGTCTCACAGGCTAGCAGTGCAAGAGTTTCTTAAATTACTTTACTGCAAACCAAGAAGAGTTTACATCAATTGCCATGTTGTTAAACAGTAGCATGCCTAATATGAATTTCATGAATTCACTATGCTGGTTCCTGAGATTACCCAGCACATTGCAGAAATACACTCATTAATTAGAAAAATGTTTTATTCCCTAGATAAAAAACAGAAGTTCAGAATGTTACCTGGTAGGATTTTGATTACTTACATTTTTCAGCTTGGTAACAAAAACTGAACAGTGTATACACATAAATAGTATATATACTATGTACTTACTGTGTAATTGAGTTTTGTACGCTCTTTTCATTTAGAGTCATTCCGGGAGGCGGATCATTTTGCAATGCCAATAGTTCTTTTTGTAATCTTTTCTAAAAAGGAATTGTAGAGAATATTTGAAATATTAAATGAAGTTCAACAACGAGCACATGCATTTAAGTAAACTTTAATCAATTACTGAAAGTCAAAAATTTTAAATGAATCTAGTGTAAGTACAAAGCGTAATTAAAAGCAGAGAAAGAAGAAAGTCATCTCCAAGAAATCAAACTGCAAATTCACAGGCCTTTAGCTAGGAGTTTTGTGATTACAATTTTTCTAACATTTACAACAGCAGTAAGTGAAGCATTGTTGCATTACAAAGTACACAGGAGTAACCAGGATTCTGTGATGCTATGAAGATGAAAATTGTGCCTCTATTCTTAACAGTAAATGTTCCATAATCCCCAGATAGCATCAGATTTACAATTAATTTTCCAAGACATTAAGAGTGCAACTCTACCTTCTCTTTACTGTTTAAGATAATTCTATGTGACACTGGTGCAGGCATTTTCCTTGTTCTAGGTCATCCCAAAGAGACAGAACACAAAGCTAAACAGGATTATGCGATTTTGCAGAAAATAAACTACTTTATAACTTCTAAACAACTGCATCTTAAATATTACTCCGTAGGTTTTACAGAAGTAGTATACCAGTAGGTCAGGTAATTCTCACCTATTTTTACAGGGTGAAGTCAGTAACTGCAACCAACTATTTTCTAAACAAACTAACAGAGCTGTTTTACGGAGCGAGCGATATAGGACCTCAGTAAAGTATTCAAAAAGTATTTTCTCTCTCCACAAAACATCATGCAAAATGTTTTGTCATTTCCAAGCCGTTCATATAACGGGAAAAGTCAAGGCTCTCACATATCTTATTCTCCCTTTTTCTGCCAACACTTTCAAGTTTACAGCCTACCAGTCCATTTCCATCATCCTTACTATTCTAAATGTCCTTATATGAGATTTAAGGCTTACCTAGCACTAAGGATTACAAAATACATTTCCTTTTGGAGTTTAGTATCTGATTTTCATTCAGCATACATTTTTCTTCTTTTTTAAGTGTAGGTTTAAAACAAGTTTGTAACTTTGGGTGTTTGCTGTTATTGTTTGTTTTTCTAAACTAACTTTCAAACTAATGTTCCTGGATGCTGAATCACAATGTAGAAGTGATTCAATATCTCATTAATATATTTGAAATAGGTTTACAATTCATTCAGGCAACTCTTGAAGAAAAAGCCTTGGTACCTACACAGTTTACATTTTGAAATAACTATTGAGCAGTCCTGAAAACTTGCTTTGTGCCTGCAGTACAAAAGTTTCTGCCGAATACACATTTTGAGTGCCCTATTTGTAAGAAATTAAATCATTTTGTTTTGAAGTGAAACATTATGTCAGAAAAGAATTTTAATTAAAGGCTATTATTACTTTTACTGCACACCAACTATATTGCTGAAAATGCAATAACAACTTTCATAACAAGCCTACATAATTTACTAACAGAAAACTTTGTGTTCATTTTTCTTCTCCCCAAATGGTAGAGAAAGCAGCTTCAGACTGTAACACCAACTGTATTTAACACTGCTAACATGAATTAAACTGAATATTCAGACAAAAGCCTCAATAAAATGAGCCTCTCCAGAAAAGCAATCCTCTAACATTTCTACTAAGAAACGAAAACAAGTTTCAGCAAAGAAACTTATTGCTTTGAAATAAGGGAAACCATGAAGAAAAGCTGACTATCAATTCCTATCGCACATGGAAAACTCCAGTGCACATCTGACAGGCAGTTTTTAGGCACAGCTCCTGTGGAAACATCAGAAGGGAATGTCATCAGCAAAGAAACCTGAACTCATCCTCTGGACTCGTTCTTCACTCGGAACAATCTCCCATTCAAAAACAAGTCTTAGCAAAAGGCACTTTTTCCTTCAACCTCAGTATATCCATTCTAACCCCATACTTTCCTCAGGTCTATGAAGGTGTGTTTGTATTATGACCGTATGGATTTCATGCATCCCAACACTGCTTCACTTGAGAATAAGGTCAGAAGTGTTCCCCTCTCCCTCTCCCCACCCCCCCACCCCCCAAGAGCACCACATATTAAAGGATCCCAGCCCAGAGCAGCAGGAAATAAGACAGGAGACCAACAGCTGCCATCAGAGACGGCAGAGAAGCTTTTCATTTTTTCAAGGTTCTCTATCGGAGAAAGATGCAACTTCAGCTATACCTATCATCTTAACATAACTTCTTTTGAAATGAAAGGACAAAAATACCATTTCATAATCAATTTCTAGGTTTCTCCAGTCCCCATCATGACAAATTGCGGAAGCGTCAGACAGCTCAAGGTGAAAAAAGTACTTCTAAGGTTTCAAAAGTGTTATTCTAGCCACCACAGTCTAAAGATAGAAGCAAGGCAGTCTTTACACAAAGAGAATGCCTTTTACTGGACAAAATGATAAACAGTTAAGATCTGAAGCTCTGGTGTATCATTTTTTTTCCACTTGGAAAAGTAAAATATACAATTCTACTGCTCTTTAGTACTTTATCAACCATGCCATACAAATCATTCATAGATTAACTGAAAAACATACCAGGACTCATAATACTCTTTTACCAGAAGTTTTCAAAATTTGTTCTATCAAGCATCAAATTCAGCTACTTCTGCAGATTAACAGATGCCTACAGACCTTCTCTGGAAGATGCTATCCAGTACCCTAGAGAAACCAGACCAAAATTCAATGGAAATCATAATCTACTAATCAGAACTTATTCAAATACTGAAAAAGAGGGAGCTAACTAACATTGAGAAAATAGTCTTTTAATTGGCCACTTTGGTCACTCCATTCCACCCTTTGACTACTCTTACAGTACAAAGTCTTTCTCTACATCTTACTGAAACATCTCCCATTCCAATCTGTCTGTTGCCCCGTGGCTTCTAGCTATGAGGAGTCATGTTTGTTATCCCAGTCACCCACCCATCCGGCCACTGAAGACATCAGTGAGAACTCCCCTCTGTCTTCTCTTCTTCAGAATGAATAACCTCTTGTGTATCATGCAGTTCAACCCCTCATCATCTTGGTAGCCATCTGCTGAACTCACTCCAGTACATCAGTGTCCTTCTTCTAGCAGGTCTCCTTAAGGATGTAACATCAGATGTCGTCTCAAGTGCCAGAAAGAAGGAAAACCACATTCTTCAAGTTGCTGCCTACTCTTCATTCTTGCGCACAAAGCCCAGAGTGCAGCTAATGATAATTAGAAGACTTGGAAAACACTCTCTAAAGTTTCTGAAATGAAACACTGGAAAAGGGACTGTTTCACAGAGAAAAAAAGACTTCCTTGTGCCTGAAAGCCATGAATGTAGCAAACTGCTTTTCAGCATCAAAACTGACATTAGCAGTGGCATAGCAGGACAAAGGATAACAGATTAATGCCTTTTCAACTATCCTAGCCATCTCATTTGTACAATCTCACAAACTTAAAGCTTGATCATTACTAAAGGAAGTCACCTCTTCATCTTTCTACCATAAGTATGGATCAAAGATACTTTTAAATATCACTGAAGTTAAAAGCCTTTACTATTTCCCACATTACCTTACCTCTGCTTGTTCTGCTGCTTTTGCAATTGGAATAATTTTCTTCACAGTAAGAAATGCGAGTGAAATAAATTACACCAAATCACTCCTCCTACTCTTCTTACAGGTACAGAATACTGTTTCCAGCTTACTTTAACTATCTTTACTAAACAGACTATTCTTTAAACTCTTTTTTTCAAGTATTTCATTTTTGCTGCTAACTTATTTAATATGATACACACATATATATACAGAAACCTGACACTCAAAATCAGCCACTATGCTGAAGCCTCACAGCTGCACAGTTGAAAAGAATGTTTACTCACTATATTTTCGTGCATATATCCCATATATTTGCTTTCTCCTTGTAGCAGCACAATGCTTTTTACTTGCATTCAGTCTGCATTCTGTCCTGGTTTCAGCTGGAATAGAGCTAATTTTCTTCAAAATAGCGACTAAGCAGCTATATTTTGGATTTGAGATGAAAAACAGTATTGATAACACACTGATGTTTTAGTTGTTGCAGAACAGTGCTTATACAGACTCAAGCTCCTTTTTATTTCTCACACTGTGATGGCAGCAAAGAGGCTGAGGCATGAACATTAGGGACAGGACACAGACAGGACAGCTGGCCCCAATAACCACAGGGATTTTTCACTCAATTCCTGGTCAGCAGTAACAGCTAGAGGAAAAAAAGAGGGGGCAGTGGTGTTTGGAGTTACAGTTTATGTTTTCCCAAGTGACCCCCATGCATGACGTACTGTGGTTTCCTGCAAATACCTAAATGTTTATCTGCCAATGCGAAGTTGCAACCGGATTCCTTATTTGCTTTCCTTAAATGAAGCAAAAGCTTCATGTGAATTGTGTTGGCCTCACCCACAAGTTCTCATTCTACTTCCCAATACTTATCCCCATCACACGATGGTATGAGTGAACAGCTGCATGGGATCTAGCTGACTGTTCTGTGTGGTTAACCCACAGCAGCATTCACTGTATAGATCCTCACCAAAGGAACACTGGTCCCTACAGTTAAATAAATCATAGCTTTCCCTGCTGAATCCTATTTTGTTGATTTTAATCCTTTTTTCAACTACAGCTTCTCCATTCGTTATCACTTTCATATTTTCTTAAAATCACAATCATTTTCAGCTGCTTTCAGAAAGCACGGTAGACAACACAGACTGCCCTCAAAATACTTTTTGATAGGTCCTGTCAACTTGACAGAACAAAACTGCTTTCCGCAATCAGACACTCATTTGAAACAGAGTAATTTCACTTCAACCAAACTACAGCTGTAATACCTTTAGATATTTCTGTAGTTAGGACACAAAAAAAGAATCCATTAATTTATATCACATTTTTCTTGCTGACTCATTCAAAAGTTACAGTAACACAAGTCAAAAAATATTTGCATCATCAAAAAACACCTACTGTTCCACTTTCAGAATAGTTACTACACATAAAAAGAATGAAAATCATGCCAAT